CTTTTTTTGGATTTTATTTTTACAATGTAATGATGAATAATGCATCTTCAAACTGGTGTCTCAACCTTACTGCCACCTTTTCTCGTTCAGGAAAAATTGCCACTTATTTCCCAACCAAGTATTCCAAAGTAAAACTTTGCTTAACTTTAACTGGCTGTACTGAAAAAAAATGTACTACGAGAGTTTGGCAAGTAACCTTAAAAGTTGGCGCATTTAATAGGGATTTCCAAATGGTATAACACTTAGAAGATTACTCGTTAACTTATGCACAATTATTATTTGAAGAAAAACTGATGAAAATTTTTCAAAATATCCTGATTAAACAGCGATTATGAAATCGCACAAGGACCCTTAAGGATAACTGTTTGCACAACAGTGGGCGTCAAAATGCTGCTTATGATGATTTACCTTTACAGCAAATGCTCAAACTGTTTTCCTTCAGCCGCAATACACGCTCGACATCTTCTTAAAAAAGATCGGGTTATTAAACGAGCGAATCTACGGTTATTAACAAACTCAGCTGCTTCCAATAGTCTTTGCCGTAGCTCAGCTACATTTTGAATCGGCTTGAAATACACTTTTCCTTTTACAGTTCCCCAGTAAAAAAAATCTAACGGATTCAAATCTGGTGACCGGGCTGGCCACGGTATTGTACCAGACCGCCCTATCCATCTGCCTGGAAAGTTTTGATAGAGATACTCTCTCACTGAGAGTGCATAGTACGCTGGGCAGCCATCATGCTGAAACCACATATCCCTGTAAATACTCAGTGGCACGTCCTCCAATAAATTTTCTAAATTATTTTGCAAAAAAGCCTAAATAAACCTCAGCAGTCAAAGTCTCTGGGAATTCAAACGGACCGATTATTTTACCATTTAAAATTCCTGTCCAATGGTTTATCTTGAAGCGATATTGAGATTTATCTTCTCTCATCAAATGTGGGTTTGCTACGTGCCACTCGTGTAAGTTATGCAGGTTCATGTACCCATCTTTCTTAAATGTGGTCTCATCTGACCACAAAATTTTTTCAAAGAACCGTGGATCTTCCCTGTGTCTTTCTAACATTGTGCGACAAAAAGCAACTCGGGGCTCATAATCCCGGGGCAGAAGAGCTTGAACACGCTGTACGTGGTATGGATGGAGCACGTTTTTTGCAAGATTCTATGGGCTGTACTTTTGGGCACACCTGTTTTTAGTTCTATTGCACGCACTGAAGTACTCGGGTCTTCTTCGACAGCTCCTAGCACCACGTCTTCGTAAGGAAGGAAAGATCTTCCCTCACCGTGTGATTGGTTTGGTAGTTGGCCCTCTGAGAACAGTAAGCGGTGCACATTTGTGAACACTCGATGATCTGGATGACGAGCTACAATCGGATACTTCTCATAGTAAAGTCTCGCTGCAGCACTAGCGTTGCATCTGCATTCCCCATAAATGAGGTGCATGTTAGCATATTCTTGTACGGTGTACACGGACATAGCGGCACTGCACAATCACACTATCAAAGAAAGTCTAAGGAAAGCAAATGTTGTTTTGGAGAGCAATTAAACAGTCCAAATCCAAATCACAAACGATCAACAGTCCAGTTCACGAATCCAAAATTAGTAACAGTACGAAATCAACAAGCACGAACATGTAAAGATGCGCAGTAAACGAAGGAGTACTGATCGGTATCAAAGTGTGCAATAGCAAGTAAGTGATGTGCTTCATCCATACCACATACAGCGTGTTCAACCTCTCCTGCCCCGGGATTATGAGCCCCGAGTTGCTTTTCGTCGCACAATGTTAGAAAGACACAGGAAAGATCCACAGTTCTTTGAAAAAATTTTATGGTCGGATGAGACCACATTTAAGCAAGATGGGTACATGAACCTGCATAACTTACACGAGTGGCACGTAGCAAACCCACATTTGATGAGAGAAGATAAATCTCAATATCGCTTCAAGATAAACCATTGGACAGGAATTTTAAATGGTAAAATAATCGGTCCGTTTGAGTTCCCAGAGACTTTGACTGCTGAAGTTTATTTGGATTTTTTGAAAAATGATGTTCAAAATTTATTGGTGGACGTGCCACTGAGTATTTACAGGGACATGTGGTTTCAGCATGATGGCTGCCCAGCGCACTATGCACTCTCAGTGAGAGAGTATCTCGATCAAAACTTTCCAGGCAGATGGATAAGGCGGTCTGGTAGAATACCGTGGCCAGCCCGATCACCTGATTTGAATCCTTTAGATTTTTTCACTGGGAAACTGTAAAAGAAAAAGTGCATTTCAAGCCGATTCAAAATGTAGCTGGGCTACGGCAAAGTCTATTGGAAGCAGCTGAGTTTGTTAATAACCGTGGATTCGCTCGTTTAATAACCCGATCTTTTTTAAGATGTCGAGCGTGTATTGCGGCTGAAGGAAAACAGTTTGAGCATTTGCTGTAAGCAGCATTTTGACGCCCACTGTTGTGCAAACAGTTATCCTTAAGGGTTTTCATAATCGCTGTTTAATTAGGAAATTTTGAAAAAATTTCATCAGTTTTTTTTTCAAATAAAAATTGTGCATAAGTTAACGAGTAATCTTCTAAGTGTTATACCATTTTGGAATCGTTATTAAATGCGCCAACTTTTGAGGTTACTTGCCAAACTCTCCTAGTACACTTTTGTCCAGTACAGCCAGTTAAAGTTGAGCAAAGTTTTACTTTGGAATACTTGGTTGGGAAATAAGTGGCAATTTTTCCTGAACGAGAAAAGTTGTCAGTAAGGTTGAGACACCAGTTTGAAGATGCATTATTCATCATTACATTGTAAAAATAAAGTCCAAAGAAAGTTAATATTTGTAGTAACAGAAGTTGACAGACTGCCGTAGGGTGTGAAATTTCTTCTTCTTCAAAGACCTATAATTTTCAAAACACATACATAAAATTTTTTTAAATATTTTTCTGATAGCTGTTATGACTTTGCCTATCACCCGGTTTCGGCTTGACGTCGACTTCTGTGCACCCTGTATATACCATAGACCAAACCGAATCCGCTCACATATCTGGATCAGATCAAAAGTAAGAAGGCTAGTTGCACGTCAGTACGAAGGATGTCTTTTAAGTTTTGCATATGATAATAAAACAACACGGTAGGTAGTTTTAAATGACTTTATTGTTTTTCGAAGTATTCTCCACGAAGATTAATACACATCTGCATGCGCTCGAACCAATTTTCGGAGCACTTATTCCGCTCGTTTGCTGGCAGATCCAAAACGGCATTTTTGAATGCGTCAACTGCCTCTTGTGGTGACTGGAACCTTTGAACGCGCAGTCTGTTTTTAATTTTCGGGAAAGTAAAGAAATCGTTAGGACTTAGATCGGGGCTATATGGAGGATGGTCCAATAATTCCACGTTTTCTTCCGTTAAATGCTGCCTTGTTTTTTGGGCTGCGTGCGAGCTTGCATTGTCTTGGTGGAAGATGATTGACTTGGTGACACTTAAAAATTCACTGTATTGAGAACACTGCACGTATTGTTGTGAAACTTTGAATTTAAGTTTACTAAAGACTGAGGTTAAGATTCAGTACTGACGTCCGATCCGCGCTGCCTACTATGTTTCTATACGCAAAACTTAAAGGACAACCCTCGTACTTAATCCAAGTGCTGGCAGCGTGGATAAAAAAAACATTAATTCATAAACGGTTAAAAAAAAAAACAGAAGTGGCACACTCGTACAGCAATATCGAACATGTCGATATGATTTTAACTTATGGTGACTTCAAAATGCTACCGAGGCTTCGCGAGTGTACGCAGATCGTTTTTCCAGACGTTATCATTCAGGGCCGTACAGATTTGTTTACATTATGCAAATAGCTAGGGATACAGGTCATTTTTCATCTACTTAAGGTCATTACTCGCCTTCGATATATGGCCATATGTTCTGAGATAATTGACGAGCTTGACAAATGTATTCATAATACTTTATACGATTTTTTGTTACAATATCTGAATAGGGATAGTAAACCATTAACCAATACGATATTTCTGAGAATAAGAACGATTAACATAATTGCTTTCTCGCAGATTTATGTAATATGACCTTATTTACCAATTAAACTCCGAGAATAGCGTAGCACTGGTAAATTAGATAGTTTACGAGCTCAACAAATTTCAAATCATCATCCATTTTAATATCTAGGTTCTTAGAATGATACATAGGAACTATTTTATTACCTTAAATTTGTTTATTACATTTTTTGAAGCATTCCTTTTTGCTTTATTTGTATATTTGTCTCTAAAGGGTTCAAACGGAGATTATGCTTAACTTTTCTTGATAAATGTTATTCGCAGTTTACAAGTCACTACTCCTAAACGAATAAAAATGAATACTATCTGAGCATCGTCGGCAAAAATTATATGCTGCATGATTCTACCTCTGCTAATATATAATGAAAATAACAGGAGACCTAAAACGGAGCCTTGTGGTACACCAGAACGAGTTTTTTGTACGGTAGAGTACTGTTTCAGACGCACTTTTTGAAACCGATTTTCAAGGTTCGAGTAGATTTTAATAAACGAAAGAAGTTTTACAGAAAATCCATAAAAATAATGAATTTAGACACAAGAAGTGAATGACTTATTGTGGTACAATGGTTTAGTGAAGTCAAGAAGTATGAGAGTTACTACTTTGTGGTCGGTTATATTGTCTGTTGAATCGCAGAGTGCTAGAGTGCTCGAAGATAGAGTAACATTTTAGACATATCTCACTCCATAAGTAGACATGTAGTATGTATCCGGGATACTATATTATAGATTCCAAATGATATCACACAGACGTAATTATTATTGAAAGCTTTAAGTGCTTCAGAAAAAGGTGGTCCAGGCGTTTGTCAGGTTATTTTTTTGTGGGAATGCGGCGTATACACTTGTACAAACGTACAACCAAAGCTAAAATAAAACCACTTTAAAAGCTATAACATGCCTCAAGAAAACTCTACCTTGCATTATGTTTCATTTTTAACAATCTGATGCTTACCAATCCACGAACCCATTTCGTCACCAATTCGCATGGAATCATTTGTAATTTGAAGCTGAGGAAGCAAAATGGCGGAGTATCCAACTGGCATGCCACAGCTTGCTGAGCTTAACATCACTGCCGCTGTTACTAGACACTGAAAAAAAATTTTATGCATTAGAACTGAGCAATATATCTTCAACAATCTCGAAATCTTAGGAACGTCGATATGGTTTCACCATTGTGTTTGAAATTTTAGAAAAATCAATAAAAATGGCGATTTTGTTATTGAGCACCACCTAACCTAAGCGGAAAAAACTAATCTTAGTTCAAACCAAGGCCATGAAAGCCAATGAAAAGTTGACATGACGTTCAACGCTTTTCTGAATCAATGAAGCTAGGAAAAAATGATGTTGACAAAGAAGCTCAGACACCTGTATCTGTTTGAGGCACATGTTTATCGTACACATCTTTGAAAAAATCATTCAGGATTATGTTCTACACTGATTAGCCGCTCAGGGAAAAAAGTTTGCTACAAACATGTGTACCAGGGAAATTAAATAAATCAGGCTTATAAAATTAGTCCATTTGTAAACGTCGCGATCTAGACATTTCTTTCCTGTCATACCGTCAGTACCGAACATCTGGCAATGTTGTTATGACTAACCTCACCGCTCGTCAGCTACGGTATTCCGGCAGCCATCACCTAATACTAAACGTAAGCGGCAATAGATGCGTAGAATTACCGGAGCTGAAAGCGTATAGACCTCGGTTGGCCGCGTGGGTCAGAGTGTCGTGCTACTGATCAGCCGGCCGGCCGGGCCGCGAGTTCGAATCTCGCCTTCGCCATGGATGTTGTGTGTTTGTTTTAGGCAGCAGCGGTGGCCGCAGTAGTAGACTCTTCGGTCTCCTGATCAGTCGCCGTGCGCTGTGCGGGTTCGATTCCCGTCTCCAGGAGAAATGTTTCTCTTGGCCATGGATGTTGTGATTGTCCGTAGGTGGTAGATGGTCTCTGACTGTCGAACGCGGAGGTACCACCCGGCGGTTCTCGTAGGCGGAGCCAGAATGTGTGCATGTTGCATGCACACGTGTTCCCTCGCCAGAGTCCGTGTGGCGTCCCCCCTTTCCCATGTATCCCCCATAGCCCCACGGTACCCAATGGGTGCTTAGGCCTCAGGCCTTCGTGGTAGTTGGAGTATAAAAAAAAAAAAAAAAAAAAAAAAAACGTCAGAAATTGAGATATACAGGGTGGCCGATGTAACTGACTGGTTTGTATCTTGAATATTTGTAAAATACAATAAAATACGTACATTTTTCCATCTCAATCTTTTCTTGAAAATTACAAATATGTATGAAAAATAATATCAGACAAATGTCCGCGTCTAGAAGTCGTGCAAACCTGAACCCTCCTGATTACATTTTCATTACTTTTTGGCAGGTTTCGGGAGGAATACATATTAATAAATTCGTTCATGTTAAAGTGGGATTCATCGCTCATTATCAATTGTCGGTAAAAATCGTTATTTTGGGTATTAAGCTGCAATATTGCATGACTATTATTGTCGGCGACTTTAGTGCTCACTAGGTAGTAGGTAGTTCTTGGGCTAACTGAATTTTGTATGGCCGCAAATGCAAGGCTTTTTTAAAATAGTGCATAATAACGAGCGACGAATAGCCAGTTGTTGAGAACGATGTCTGGTAGACGTCTCAGGGCGCTCCACCACACTTTCACGAACTCTCTTGATATTTGCTGGGGTACGAACAGTTCGAACATGACCCGATCTTGGCAAGTCTTTAACTTCACCTGTTCACCGGGCAAATTATTTCGACCTAAATCTTGTCGTAGCTTCCGAATAGGGACGTGTTGTGGGATCGTGTAGAGCTCCATGATGAATGGGACACATGTGCTTTAAACAACTACTACTGCGCCACCTACTGAAATACGTGTATCAAAAGTAGCGCGCAATATAAATCAGTCAGATATATACTAAGTGACATATAAATCCGAACACCCAGTTTAAATGGTTTTATTTTAATAAAAGTTGGTGAATGTATTTATCTTACTGTAAATAACAAGTGAAAAAATTTTCAGCCCTATCAGTTGGACATTCCGGTTTTTATACTGCTTTTTTTTTAATTCACTAACGCTCTAAAAATGAATATTTCAGCCGCAGTAAAGAATCAACGTTGGCGGATTTTGGTTCTTGACATCCTTTACGATCGGTTACGATGCCTAGAGTACGGAGACCTGTACGATTTCGTCAACTTAGTGAGTTTGATAGGGGTCGTATAGTGGGACTTCGGGAAGCTGGACTTTCTTTTCGGGCAATTGCAGTTAGAGTGCAAAGAAGTGTAGACACTGTGGTTAGGTGTTGTCAGGCATGGCTTCGAGAAGGCCGTACGCAAAGAGCAAGGGGCACTGGACGCCGCTGTAGAACAACAAACCGTGAAGATCGCCGCCTAAGATTATTGGCCTTAAGGGAACGTTTCTCGACTACCAGGTCCATTGCAAATGAATGGTTTGCAGAACACGGAAGACCTATTGGCATGCGAAGTGTTTACCGGCGAATGAGAAGTTTTGGCTTGCTTTCATACCGGCCACACTGGGTCCTCCCTTTAACTCGAGAACACCGACGTAATCGCCTTGAGTGGTGCAGACAACGGTCACTCTGGGATCAGGAATGGAACAGTATTGTCTTTAGTGACGAGTCTCGATTTTGTTTAGGCATGCACGATGGTCGTGCCAGGGTTAGAAGGCGACGTGGTGAAAGGAGGAATCCACAGTTTTTTGTTGAAAGACATGTTCATCGCACTGTTGGAGTTATGGTCTGGGGTGCTATAGCTTATGGTTCCAGGTCACCTTTAATCTTCATCAGAGGTAACATGAACGCGCAGCGTTATATCCACGAAGTTCTAGAACCCCATCTTTTACCCTATCTTGACACCCTGGCAGATCCAACTTTCCAACAGGATAATGCCCGACCACATGTTGCAAGAGTCACAATAGATTTCTTTCAACATAATGATGTCACCATGGCCACCAAGATCTCCCGACTTATCCCCAAATGAGCACGTGTGGGATATGATGGGTACTAGATTGCTCAATTTGCAACGTCCTCCTCAGACTCTAGAAGCACTTCGAGAGGAGTTGGTGGTTGCCTGGAATGAGATACCACAGGAGGACATTGACCACCTGATCAGAAGCATGCCCAGGCGCGTTGGAGAATGCGTAGCACATCAGGGTGCATCCACACATTATTAAAGGTCAAAGGGCTTTAAAGCAGTGCAATCATTTTGAAATTTTTATCATTTACTTATTATGCTTCATTAAGTACTTATACAAAATTTTATTAAAATAAAACCATTTAAACTGGGTGTTCGGATTTATATGTCACTTAGTATATTTCGCACTTTTTCAAATATTGAACCGCTTATATCTCGACAACTGTTAACATTGGAGCAACGTTTTTAAAAACCTTTCATGCTGGATGTCCAAAAAACTAAAAAAAGAACTATATTCGTAGCGTACAAATTAGTATTTTCCAAAATACAGCTAAACGCCAATTTCTGGAATTTGTTAGAAAAGGTTATAGTTAATTATGCAGCAAAACCGAGATATATTATTCTTCTGGGAAAATGTAAATATGATTCCTGGATTACGAGTATTTCGAACTTTAAGCCTTTGAAGCTAGCGTCGCGGAAGTCAAACTCCGATTATATTTTTAAGGTTAGGTCTTTAGGAGCTGACAATAATTTCCAGCAATTTATCTTGGTCATATTTACTCTTAAGATTCCTTAACTGATCAGTCTAGTTTGAGCGGTCGTCGACATACAGGGTGTCCCAACAGTGCAACAACGTAGTATTGCTCCTAAACAATGTTTAAAAAAATAATTTAATTTTTTACCCACAACAGGATTGACATAAAATACTTATTATTAAGTACTTTATATTAAAAAAACGTCAAATTCTGATGGCCTGCAATACCTGCTATGTTGCCAGGTGAAGTAGTGAGTTTTGTGTCATTTCTTTTATCTCACTCACTTTTAGCCTAATTCAACCATTTTTTGATTTTTTTGAATTAACATTACAGGGTGGTCAGGGTGGTCACAACTCAAAATATACTTTTAGTAAAAACGTAAATGGTACTCCCTGTATAGTTTTGCACTATCGTGTCCCCATTTTCATGAGATTTTTTTTTAATATAAGGTTACCACTTCTGCGTTGTAGCTATTTGTTTAAAGAAATTTTACAATTTTCAAATCATCATTGGAAACAAAAAACAAGTAATATCTAATAAAAGGTGGTGTTTCCGTCCATTAAAAAAGGCTCAACTTTCATATGTGTCAAAACTATATAATTATTATTATTTAACAAATACAGGGTATTTCAGAACTAAGGGATCAAACTTCTAGGTGTTTTTCAGTTTAACAGTAGAAAACATTTGAGTTTAGGGACCCATATCCGGAAAAGCGTCACTACCGCACTACGGCCCTAGAAAGACGATGAATTGCCTAAATAGGATTTGATGCATTTAATTTTTGCCTTTTGTACATGATATCATCACAACAATTGTTCAAAATGTCTTCCTCCAACCTGAATACACCGATTTAAACGTCGCACATGATTTCGACGAACTTGATACTCGTTTTGAATGATTTGAAATGCTGCTGTAATTCGTCCAATTAGGTCTTGCTCTGTTTCTACTGGAGTTCCGTAAGCCAAAGACTTTACATGTCCCCATAGGAAAAAATCTAGCGACGTTAAATCGGGTGACCTAGGAGGCCAAGAAGCTGCTCCACCTCTGGCAATCTAATGGTGCCCAAACCGCTGAGCCAAATACTCACGTACTTGAACAGCAAAGTGAGCCGGCGCTCCATCATGCTGAAACCACATTTGCTGTCGAACTTTCAATGGAACATTTTCAAGAAGTTCTGGAAGAACTTCCTCCAAGAAACGCCGGTAAATAGGCCCTGTTAACCGTCCCGGTAGAAGATATGGCCCAATCAAATAATAATAATCAACAATGCCTGCCCATACGTTGGCAGACCAACGTTGCTGATGTTCAACAATTCATTTTAGTTAAAGTCTTGCAAACTTCACAAATTCGATAGCACGACTAAGGCGATATGGAAAGCAGCTACAAAAAACAATCTATG